GCGGGGGGGTGGGGCCAGGGGAGGGAGGACGAGTGGCCGCTTTTGTTATGGGATGCCCTTCTCCTCATCATCCTGCCTCCTGCTCCTTCGTCCTTGTACCTTCTACTCTTCCTTCCACCCTCTGTCTCCTCATCGTCTCCTCCCTAATTCTCCTCCTGTTCCTGGATCTCCCCTTCCGCCTCCTCCGCACCACCTTCCTCCCTGACCCTGTTCTTTTTCCTCCTCATCACCACTGATCATCGTCAGAATCATCATCATCAGCAGCTGCATCAGAATCCTTGTCGTCATCCCCGTCATCATCATCACCGCCATCACAATCAACATCACCAGTATACTCATCTTCGCCATTATTAACATTATCATGATCATCGTCACCGGCAGCATCATAATCTTGCTCATGATCATCAGCAGCATCATCACCAGTGTCACCCATCATCACTCATCATGATCAGCATCATCACCACCATCATCATCAAATAGTCATCATCTTTTCAGCATCATCAGCAGCATCATCAGAATCAGCATCGTCATCGTCATCGTGATCGTCATTAGCAGCAGCAGCAGCAGCAGCAGCGTCGTCGTCATCGGCATCGGCATCGTTCTCCCCTCATCCTCCTCCTCCTCCTCCTCCTGCTCCTCCTCTTCCTCCTCCTCCGCCGCCGCCGCCTCCTCGCGCACGGGGGGGGAGGTCCTGAGGTCCGATGCACCTGCAGCCAACGTACGGAGGGCCACCCACGCAGCGGAATGCAGTGCCAAACCACTAACGCGAGACCCGTGGAGCAGTCGACGTGACGACTCCGCATTGACCTGCTAGAGACACCAACATGAAGCGCGCATTTGATTGAAATGACCACCATTCGGTTAACACGGCTGTCGGAGGATGGGCACAGTTTCCATTTTGCGATTGACCTCGCGTCATGCCATGATCAATGCGTTCAATATAGATGCATCTGTATATGCGTATAGGTATACTGCCGATCGAAGAAATACCTTGACACCGCGGTCAGCAAGGTGCCAGTAGGGTAGGCTCGGCGGGGAGGGGGGTGGACGGGCGGCACATGTCACGGAGCTCCCACCCAGACTTTTGAGGTTGGCTCCACTTGCTGCGTTGGAAGTTACGGGCCCGTTCGAAACATCAACGCATGTTGCGTTCGATGCGACGTGGGCTCGAGCGATCGCTCCGTAAGAAGCGACATGCACAAAAAGGCGAGGCCCGCCACACAGAGAGACACACACCCACACGCACACGCACCAACCGCTGCAAGCACGGTGGCGAATCTCGTGTGCAGAGATACGCAGGTACATCTATATATATATATATATATATATGTATATATGTGTGTATGCACATATGTGAATATGTATATACGTATGTATGTATGTATGTATGCATGCATGTATGTGCATGTATGTAGGTAGGTATGGAAATGTGTATGTGTGGATGTATGCATGTGTGTATGTATCTATGTATGCATGTATGTTTGTCTGGATGTATGACTGTATGGATGCATGGATGCGTGTATGCATGTGTGAATACGTGTATGTATGAACGTATGAATGTCTGTATGAACGTATGTGTGTATGTACGGGTGTATGTATGTATGTGTGTATGTATGTATGTATGTATGTATGCATGCATGCATGCATGTATGTATGTATGTATGTATGTATGAGTGTGTATGAGTGTGTATGTATGTATGCATGTATGTATGTATGTATGTGTGTATGTATGTATGTATGTATGTATGTATGAGTGTGTATGAGTGTGTATGTATGTATGTATGTATGAATGTATGTATGGATGTGTGTATGTGTGTATGTATGTATGTATGTGTGTATGTATGTGTGTATGTATGTATGGATGTATGTATGCAGGTAGGTAGGTAGGTAGGTAGGTGTGTGCATGTGTGTAGGTATGGATGAATGGATTGATGGATGGATGTATGTGTGAATGTATGTATATGTGTATATAGTGTGTGTATATGTGTATGTATGTCTGTATGTGCGTATGTATGTATGTATGCATGTGTATATATATATATATGCGTAAACACAAACGCGAGCCGCCTACTATCCTGATATCTCTGCATGCCGAGGATCCCTCGTCTCGCCCCACGTCCGCCCCCAGAGGGAGCAGCAAGGATGGAGGAGGGCGCCCAGGGAGAGGAGGCTGGCGTCGCCACCACCTTGCGTCAGTCTCGGACTCCCCGCGGCGTGTCCGAGAGCCCCGCCCGCCGGTCGAGTGGCCGAGCCTCGCAGCTGCGCAGTCCAGAGCCGCTCTGGCTCAAGCCGCGCCGCTCGCCGCACCCCTCGGCCACGAGAGGCCGGACGCAGCCGAAGCCCCCCAGCATGGCGCCGCCGCGGGCCGCGGCGCGCGCCGAGCCGCCGCGCCGCCGCGCCCAGGCCGGCCTCGCGGCGGCCGCGGCCGCCGTGTGCCTCGCCCTGGCGCGCCCCGGCGGGGCCTTCGCCGCAGCCCCGGCGGGCCGCAGGGCGCGCCGCCCGAGTGCCCGCGCCCTCGGCGAGGCGGGCCGCGCGCCGCGCCCGAGCTCGCCCCGCCCGGCCGCCGGAGCCCCGCCAGGGCCCGACGCCCGCGCCGGGCCGCTCTGCGCCGCGGCCTGCGCCGCGCTGCTGCTCGCCGCCGCCCCGCGGGCGCCGGCCAGGGCCCCTGCACGCGCCGCGCGCGGCCGCGTGGTGCTCCAGGCCTGCAGGGGGGGGGCACATGTGCACCAGGCAGAGCAAGAACGAAGGCATCATCTCAGAGAAGCGAGAGCACAGTCGTTGGCAACGGTCGGGAAGAGGAGGGCCTGGGAAATGTGGCCAGGTGCGCGCACAACGCTGAAACCCTGCAACCAGCGGCGAGCAAACGGGGGGGGGAAACGACAAAGACAAGGGCCCTCTCAGAAGGCGGCGGGCCTTCTCAGAAGCCCTCGCGCCTCCTGAGAAGTCCTCACCTCTCAGAGGGCCGGGGGACTTCGAGCCTTCTGAGAAGGCCCGCTCCCTCGGGCCTCGGACGCCTGGTGGTTTAGGGGGTCATACCTCGGCGCCCCGGTGGCCGTTCGGGACGACCCGGGCACCCCGGGAACGCCCTCGGCGAGGCGCAGCCGCTGGAACGCACCCCGAGGCTGGAGAACCGCCGAGAGCCTACGAAAACGCCCGAGAACCTCGGACCTCAAGCTTCCTTCCTTCCCCCCGCGGCTCTCGACGTAAGTCGGGCCTGTCCCTCTTCAAAAGATGGTCCGGGGACGATTTTCCCATCGTTCTTTGACTCGTTTTGGTGCACTGCTCGAATCTATGTTTTATTTAATCGCTTTGCTCATTCCGCCGGCCAGTATTGGTGCACGGCTGTCGAGTGCCCGTTTGATCGTTGTCAATGGGGTGTTGCTGGGTCGTTTTTTTGTTTATGGATGGCTGGCTTTCGGTGATTTCGCAGGCGGGAACCATTCTTTGCCCGCCTGAACCTTCTGTTTCGGAAGGTGGCGGCTCGTGAATACGATCGCAGGGAACAAGACAACATTCTGCAGTTTCCTTTTTGCATTCTTCGGGCCCCTTGTCGCTTGTTGGGGCCTCTTAGGAGCCTCTTGGGGCGTCCAGGAGGCCTCTTGGAGCGGAAGGCTCGGATTTTCAGGTCGTGGTCTCCATCTTGGGCCTCTCTTGGGGCCCTCTTGGGGTCCTTTTGGACCGTCTTGGGCGCCTCTTGGGCTGTCGTGGGGCTCTCTTGGACGGTCGTGGGCCTCTCTTGGAGGCCTCTTGGGCCGTCTTGGGGTGGTCTTGGAAGCTTCTTGGGCCGTCTTGGAGCGTCGGAAAGGCGGGGAAGCTAAAAACCTTGAATAATCCAATGGAAATCAATGGGTTTGGCGCTCTGAGGCTTCGTGGACGTTCATTGTGATCTCGTTGGATGCCTCTCGAGGGCTTCTTGGAGACTCTCGGGAGCCGTTGTCGAGCCTCTTGGGGTCTCTTTCGGGTCCCTTGTCGTTTTTTGCGCACTGCTCGAATCTATGTTTTATTTTCCTCAACCCGCCTGCAGGGGGACACGCCCCCTCGACCTTCCCTCCCCCCCGGGCCCGCCGCCGATCCCAGGCCGCCCTGGCCCCTACGCAGGGCCTCTCCGCGCCGCCTCCGGCGGCCACCTGGCCCGCGCCGCCGCCGGCGGTCGCGGCACGCGCCGCCCAGGGCCGGGCCCCCCGCGCGGCGGCCGCGGCCGCGTGCGGCGGCCTGCTGGAGGCCCTCGAGAGAAGGAGGAGGAGGAGGAGGAGGAAGATGTGGAGGGAGGGGAGGAGAAGGAGGTGATGATGAGGAGGAGGAGGAGGAGGGAAGGAGGGAGGAGGAGGAGGAGGAGGAGGAGGGAGGGAGGCGAGGAGAGGAGGAGGAGGAGGAGGAGGAGGAGAGGAGGAGGAGAGGAGGAGGAGGAGGAGGAGGGAGGAGGAGAGGAGGAGGAGAGGGGAGGAGGAGGAAGAGGAGGAGGAGGAGGGGGAGGAGGAGGAGGAGGAGAAGGAGAGAGAGGAAGGAGGAGGGCAAGGAGGAGAGGAGGAGGAGGAAGGAGGAGGAGGAGGAGGAGCGTGCTGGGGGCCCTCGAGGGGCCGTCGCTCGGCGCGGCGCCCGCGGCCGCGGCGCCGCGCGCCGCCTCGGCGCCGAGAGCGGGGCGCGCCCAGGAGCCGCCGCGCGCGCCGCGGGGCGCACGGCGCGTGCCGCGCGCACGGCACGCCGGGCCGTGGGCGCGAGGCTGCAGCCGAGCCGGTGTACCAGGCGGGCGGCGAGAGGTCTCCGCCTCCACCTCCTCCTCATCCTCATCCTCCTCCTCCTCCTCCTCCACCTCCTCCTCCTCCTCCTCCACCCCCTCCTCCTCCTCCTCTTCCTCCTCCTCCTCCTCCGCCTCCTCCTCCTCTCCCCCATCTTCTTCTCCTCCTCCTCCTCCTCATCCTCCTTCCTCCTCCTCCTCCTTCTCCTCCTCCTCCTCCTCCTCCTCCCCCTCCGTGGGCCCGCACTAAAGGCCACTGTGGCGA